CTCTTGGGAATATACCCAAGAGATGCCCTATCATATGACAAAAGCATTTGTTCAACTATGTTCATAGCAGTATTATTTGTAATAGCCAGAACCTGGAAACAACCTAGATGCCCTTCAATGGAAGAATGGATGAAGAAAGTATGGAATATCTACACATTAGAGTACTACTCAGCGGTAAAAAACAAAGACTTCTCGAATTTTGCATGCAAATGGATGGAAATAGAAAACACTATCCTGAGTGAGGTATCCCAGACCCAAAAAGATGAATATGGGATGTACTCAGTCATAATTGGTTTCTAGCCATAAATAAGGGTCACGGAGTCTACAATAGGTGAATCTAAAGAAGCTAAGTAATTAGGGGAACCCAAGGAAAAGCATATAGTTATCCTCTTGGCTAAGGGAAGTAGACAAAATTGCCGGGGAGAAAATTGGGATCTATGGGTGGGGTGGGTTGGGGGTAAGGGGAGATGGGGAGAGAAAAGTTAGAAGGGAAGGAGGTCGGGCCTTGGGAAAGCAGGAGGATTGGGATAAAGGAAGGTTGGACAGGGGAGCACGGAACCACAATTCTTAGTTAAGGGAACCACTTTAGGGTTGGCAAGAGACCTGACCCTAGAGGGGCTCCCAGGTGCCCAAGCTGAGGTCCCCAGTTAGTTCCTTGGGCAGTTGAGAATAGGGAACCTGAAATGACCCTATCCTTGAGCAATACTGACGAATATCTTGCATATCATCATAGAACCTTCATCTGGTGATGGATGGAGATAGAGACAGAGACCCACACTGGAGCACTGGACTGAGCTCCCAAAGTCCCAATGAGGAGTAGAAGGAGGGAGAACATGAGCAAAGAAGTCGGGACCACGAGGGATGCACCCACCCACTGAGACAGTGGAGCTGATCTATTGAGAGCTCACCAAGACCAGCTGGACTGTGACTGAAAAAGCATGGGATAAAACTGGACTCTTTGAACATGGCGAACAATGAGGGCTGATGAGACGCAAAGGACAATGGCACGGGGGTTTGATCCTACGTAATGTGATGGCTTTGCGGGAGCCCAGCCAGTTTGGATGTTCACCTTCCTAGATATGGACGGAGGTGGGAGGTCCTAGGTCTTACCACAGGGCAGAAAACCCTGACTGCTCTTTGGACTAGAGAGGGAGGGGGCAAGGAGTGGGGGGAGGGGGAGAAGGGTGGGAGGAGGGGGCGTAGGTTGGGAGGAGGGGGAGGGAAATGGGAGGCTGGGAGGAGGTGGAAACTTGTTTTTTGTTTCTCCTTTTCTCAATAAAAAAAGAAAAAAAATAATGAAAATAATTCAAGATATGAAAACAGAACGTAACAAATAAAATCACTAAAGAAAAGTGAAACCAAAATAAAACTGGAAATTAAAAATTCAGGAATTCAAATAAAAAGCTTAGAAGTAAGGAAGAAAGAATAGTTCAATCAAATGAAATGTTAAATGCTCTTTTATTTTATTTATTTTTAAAATCCTTTTTTTTTTTTTTTTTTTTTGGTTTTTCGAGACAGGGTTTCTCTGTGGCTTTGCAGCCTGTCCTGGAACTAGCTCTTGTAGACCAGGCTGGTCTCGAACTCACAGAGATCCGCCTGCCTCTGCCTCCCTAGTGCTGGGATTAAAGGCGTGCAAGATATATTTATTTATTACGTACACAGTGTTCAGCCTCCATGTATGCCTGCAGGCCAGAAGAGGGCACCAGACCTCATTACAGACGGTTGTAAGACACCATGTGGTTGCTGGGAATTGAACTCAGGACCTCCGGAAGAGCAGTCAGTGCTCTTAAACATCTGAGCCACCTCTCCAGCCCTCTTAAATGCTCTTTTAAAATACACAGGTATAAAAGCTACAGGAAATGTGAAAAGGACAAACCTACAATAATAAGTATAGAGGAAGGAGAAGAAACTCAGGTTAAAGGCAAAGAAAATATAATAAAATCATAAAAGGAAAATTCTCCAATCTAAAAAAAGAGATGTCTCTCAAGGTGCAAGAGAACTACAGAACACCAAGTAGGCAGGAACAGAAAAGAACCTTCCCACAACACATAATTATCAAACACTAAGTATAAAGAACAAAGATAGGATATTAAAAGTGGCAAGGGGACAAGACCAAGTCACATACAAAGGCAAGGCACATTAGAATAACACCTTACTCAGAGACTTTGAGAGCCAAAAGGTTAAGGACAGATGTTCTGCAAACTCTGAAAGACCCCAGATGCCAGCCCAAGATACTATCCATAACAAAACTATCTTTCACAATCAACAGAGAAAAACATTTATCTTCTTATCCTTTTCAAATGTCTAGCCTATCTTCATATTAGTTCTCTTATAAGTAAATAACAGCATTTGAGAATTGTGTTTTTATATAATTCGCAGAGAACTGTACTTTTATATAATTCACAGAGTTGTTGTGGGGGATTAAATAGAAAAATAATCACATATTAATCATTCTTTAAATTGTTGCTGAATTGAGCCCTGCTAATATCATTTAAGAAGATAAGAGGCTGGGAAACTTCTAGGATTCACTTCAACTGACCCTGGCAGCCCCAAATAGCCTAATGGAAAAAGATAATAATTCTTTTGTCTATGAGTAGTTGGGCAACCACTTCCTTGTCATAAATCCCCATCTTGTTATATTCAGGATCTTACTTTATCACTAAGCTGTAAAAACAGCTTGAGCTTATAAATTTCAAGGCATAACAGCAACTTTGTTGAGAAAACTTTGTTGCCTTAAAATCATAAATCTTAAACAACTTTACTTTTTGAAATCATATTAATGAAAATGAAAATGTCAAATCTTTTCAGCGAAGCCACAACTCCACCAGATTACAAGTGCAATTTCTTAGATCTTAGATTTTTTTCCAGTGAAAAAAAATGTAGTGTGATATTTCATTTGTATTTTAATAAATAAAGCTTGACTGGAGATCAGAGAGTAAAACAGCCACATTGATCATCCAGAGACCGGGCAGTGGTGGCACACACCTTTAATCCTAGTCGTCACACTAGTTCACCACATAAGCCAGGTGATATTATGGTGCACGCCTTTAATACCAGTACTAGAAAGGAATATAAAACAGGAGGAGACAGGTCTCAGATGAGTCTCATTCTGAGGATTTGTGGAGGCAGGATTGACATTTTGGTCTGAGGTAGAGGTAAGAGCCAGTGGCTGGCTGCTTTGCTTTTCTGATCTTCAGGTTGAACTTCAGTATCTGTCTCTGGGTTTTCATTAATCATGCTACAAAGAAACATCATGATATTACTTTCACTGATTATCAAAGACCATTTATACCATTTTTATGCCTAGGCTTGATGTTGACTCTTGACTCACTGCCTCATTTTCCTTCAAACCTATTAAAACACTACATCCTTTAAATTTTATGTAAATTCCACTCTGTTCAAAGCATATAGTAACCATGTTTTTCTTTCTTGAAGTTTCCCCTTTGCTTGTTTCTCTTTGAAAGGAGCAAGTTAAGCTGTTGTTCCTAGTTTTGAATGATACACTGACATATGACATGCAAGGCATTTACTATTTTTTAATATATATGGTACTTTTTAAATTAAATAGAAAACTTTATGAACATCTTCCATCTACATTATAATTTGATGGATATCTCAAACATTTTTGTCAACTAAGCTTCTTCATTTTCTTTTTTATATGAATGAAAAATCCAATTGACTTTGCAGATTTGCTATGCTTTCCCTCATCTCTTTTTATAAAGTTAAGTTTTGTAAAATGAATATCTGCTCATTTAATAATACTAATATAAAACGGTCACAAAGGACATAGTCTCGTGTCTATCATTTGATTATATTTCTAGGTATTGAGTGCTATCATATGACTAATTGGTCTTGATCTCTTAATGATTTTTATTTAGTCATTTATAGGGTCTCACAATGTATCTCTGGCTATGTACTTGCAATGTAGACCAGGCTGGCCTTAAACTCACGGAAATCTGCCTATCTCTTTTTCCAAGGACTAGGATTAGAGGAAAGTGCTACTATCCTGACCTGTTTAATGATTTAAAAAAAATCATTGTTTTGGATTTTCCCTCTTCAAAGTGGTCATACTTTGATGTCAGCTATGTATTAATCAAAATATAAAATTAATATAGTAATTTAGATCGAATTGTTTCTAAGGAGTATTGAAGTTTGGCTCTATTTACATAATTTGGAACCTCAGACATTTTATTTTCATTTCTTTTTTGGGTTATATTGGCTATCATTAAAACTCAAAAATACTAGCCGGGCGGTGGGTGCACGCCTTTAATCCCAGTACTTGGGAGGCAGAGGCAGGCAGATCTCTGTGAGTTCGAGGCCAGCCTGGTCTACAAGAGCTAGTTCCAGGACAGGAACCAAAAACTAAGGAGAAACCCTGTCTCGAAAAATCCAAAATAAATTATACTTTTAAACTCTAATTTCCATTTTTTTTCATTTTCGGGACATAAACAATAATATTTTTCTTCTACTCTAATAATACATATTTTATGTATAGTTATGTTAGAATGCATAAGAACACCAGAACTTATTTTTTATATCTAGTTGTAACTTAATGCCTATTGATCAAGTTTTTTACCATTTTTCTATCCTTGTACTCTCCTAGCCTTTGGTAACTACTATATGTGCTTTTGTGACATCACTTTTTGTGAGTTTATAAATGGGTGATATTATACAGTTTTTGTCAATCTTTACTTCATCCACATACGTTTTATCTTCAGGAACTCAGTAAAAGAACAAAAGATGCTTTACATATTTTTAAGATTCAATCGTCTGTCATAGGAATAAATGAAGTAAAAAAATACGATTATCTGTAAAGTACAAAGAGGTCAGATTTTTAGGCTAGCTAGATAACAGAAAACTTAAGAGTTCTTTTCCATGACTGCATTAATTAGAGGAAATAGTATTTACATGCTATTATTTTCAATAATATTTCTAATAAGGTAACAAAGTGAAATTTAATAACAAAGAGAAGTTTTTCTCCTGAAAGAGTTGTCTTTTCTCTACTGTTTAGCCAGACTTGCATACATATTTTCAATTTCTTTGTCTTCAGGACAAGTGTGGGCACATTCTTCATGAGCATAGACATTGTGGAGATAGCGCCAGACTCCTGAGAATTCTGCTGGAATGTCAAAGTCATGATACTTCATGGCACCAACCTAGAAAAAAGTGGAAAAAGTTGCTAGTAAAATACATCATTTATATTCTCCTATGTAGAAATACACCTCAAAGACAAGGTACTACAAAATAAACTTTAAAAATAAGTATAAAGGATATTGGATTTATTATTTAATATTTTGTCTAAAATGTAGACAAAGTCATATGTTTCCCTTACTGGAAGGTTACTGTGCTGTATACTACCAACTCACAAACCCCTCACACTATATACAGCCATTCATACTCAAACTCACTTTCATAATGTTCAGTTTGGCTAACAAACTGCAGCCAGCCAGTGTTAATGTAACAACTATATATGTTCTTAATAAGCTTTCATGGTGTGCACACTGCTTGAACTAGTTCTTTTCCACTAATGCAATGATGAGACAGTCAGCTCAAATTGTGAGTGAAATATCTTGGACTTAAGGTCCAAGAGAGAAGAGCATGTTTATGTGACTCAGAGGAAAGCAAACCTATTCAAGAATATTTATTGGAGATGTTAGATCCTTCAGTTTAAAGAACTTCAAAGGCATAGTTCTTCAATTAGTTCACAGCTAGCCAACAAAGCTCTATTTGAACTGTGTTGGTAATTGATATATTGAATCTTGGATTCTAAATGTAATAAAACTCAATGCAAAAGCATTTCAGAGGACAGAACAGAAAATGAAAGGGAAGTAGGCTGTTCCCTGAAATGGATTATATATTTGTGAAAATTTTATTTTACTTGAGTAACAATGGGAGAATGAGCAAATAACTGAGAAAAGTGGAGACTTGTGATTTAGCCTGGCCTGGATGTCAGTAAATAGTCTAGGCTACATTTGAACTGATGATTATCATGTGTCAGCCTCCAGAGTACCAGTCCAAGGATAGAAGATATACCCAATGTGTCCTGTTTTGTCAACACTTTTTAAACTGTAAATGCTAAAATGATTAACAGAAGAGGATCTCAGAAGCATGAAAATACCTCATCTGTGTATTTAGAGTGCCATTTTCATCTGTCTGGTAGAGATGTAATAAAGAAGAATAATCAGCAATCAAAAAAAAAGAATTCTTACTTTTATTTGCTTCCTTTTGCATGTTTTTAATGTATGCAGAAAACTTGGCAAAGAGATTACAGCCCATATCAAAAGATTCCTTGTTCTTGGAACTCAGGTGAGGATACCTTCAAAAGAAACACAGGTCACTATGAGTCCCATACTGTATCACAGGGCCATGGTGTCCTAGACTTTATAAAGAATAGAACTTTTCTAAATTTCCAAATTGTGCCAAAAATTGAAGGTATTCAAAATCTCTCAATAGAAATGTGTTCTATTCAAACTGAGAATATTTTAGTTTCTAAAATTTAGTGGAAATTATGGCCTGGGATTTTAACCTTATATGCTCTTAACAACAATGCTTTAGAGTCTTGCTTATGTTCCTATTTGCAAGGAACAAAGCAATACATTTTCATAAAGTAGTCAGGAAAACAAGCAGGTAAAATGTCTTTTTTCGTAGATTCAAGTACATAAAAGCACGATCATTTCATTAGATGCAGAAAAGATTTTTGACAGAAATCCAGCAACCCTTCATTGTTAAAGTCCTAGAGAGACTAGAGATACAAGGGACATAACATAATAAAGGCAATTTACAGCAAATCCATAACCAACAATCAACATCATGCTAAATAGAGAAAAGCTCGAGTATTTTCCACTAAAATCAGAAACAAGACAAGGATGTCCACTCTCTCCATACCTGTTCAGTGCTTGACGTCTTAGATAGAGCAATAAGACAAGAGGGATACAAATAGGAAAGGAAGACATCAAAATATCCTTATTCTCACATGATATTATTCTCTTCATAAAGAACCTAAAGTCTGGTCTACCCACTGAGACAGTGTGCCTGATCTAATGTGAGCTCACCAAATCCAGCTGGACCGGGATTGAACGAGCATGTGATCAGACCAGACTCTCTGAATGTGTGAGAAGCCATCGATAATGGCACTGGGACTTGTTTCTACTGCATGTGTTGGCATTTTGGGACCCTAGTCTATTTAGATGCACACCTTCCTAGGCCTGGATGGAGGGGGGAGGGCCTTGGACTCCCCACAGGCAGGGTACCCTGCCCTCTCTTAAGGAGGGAGAGGGAGGAAAGAGGGGGAGTGGTTGAGCAGGAGGGGGATGGGAGGAGGGGAAGAAGTGTAAATTTTTGAATGAAAAAAAAAAAGAACCTAAAGTCTTCATCCAGCTGATAAATTCATTCAGCAAAGTAGCAGAATACAAAACTAGCACACAAAAAAAATCAGTAGTCTTCCTATATACAAGTAACAAACACACTGACAAAGCAATCAAGGCAACATGCTTTAGGGTGTCTCTCGGTGCTACCATGTCCTGCAATAGAAGCCAATGGGAAATTCGAACAGCCTAATCCATGCAGGATGACAAAGGGCACAGACACTTCAGGAATGAAGGTATGAGGTACTCCTCCAGGAAAAGAATCAAGACCTGCTGAGTTGCTTTGCTTCCTGAGGGTGGGGGAAATACAGAATGGGGTAGTAGAGGAAGGTAGTTCTAAATACCAACTAAAACCATGCCACCAATTGCAGAAATAGTGATTGGAATTTATATGAGTGTTTCTATCATATTTTGTTAAGGATATGCTTATACATATATTTGTGTTTTCCCTCAATTTCTTTATCATGTAATGTAACATCAATTAAGAGAATATCAGTGATTATCATATTTAAATTTTGAGATACCAAAAGAATGTTCCTCCAGGGACAATGCCACTTATTCTAAAACTTATAATGTGTTTGTGACTGTACTTGGGTTAGCTCTATGATGTTAGGTGGTTATTGTTTTCATTTGAAAATTAAGCATGATATAAGAAGATATGATTATGTGTTAGGTTGACAAGGGGTGGACTTGTGATAGCTATTCTTGGTGTCATTTTGACTACATCTTGAATTAATCACAACCCAAGAATCTCAGTGCATCTGTATATAGCACAACTAATAGAAACCTCGAGATACATATTAGGGTTCAAGATGAAAGGTCAGAGAAGCAAAGCAGCCAAGTCTCTAGAGAGCTCTTACTTCTATGAAATCTTCAGGCTAAAAAGAGAGTGAATTCCTGTCCCCTCCTGCCTTCTACTTGTTTCTAGTATGGGGATTAAAGGTCTGCACCACTACCACCTGGCCTCTATGGCTAACTAGTGTGACTGCTGGGATTAAAGGTGTGTGCCACCACTGCCTGGCCTGTATGGCTGACCAGTGTGGCTAGCTTTGCAATCTGATCTTCAGGCATGCTTTATTTATTAAAACATTAATAAAAATATCACTATACCTGTGAGGGATTTTTCTCAATTAAATCACTTGAAGTGGGAATACCCACCTTTAATCCAGATCCTTGAGGTGAGAAGATCCACTTTTAGTCTGGGCCACACCTTCTGCTGGCCGTTTATATAAAAGACACAGATGAAGGAAGATCTTGTTCTTTTCCTGCTTGCCTTCACCTTCACTGGCAAGTTCATTCCTTCACTGGCACAAAAGCCTACTTCTTCAGAATTCTGGCATATACTGAAAATTAGCCGAGACGTACAGCATCATGGACTAAAAGCTACTGAATTATTGGACTTTCCTTTGGTATAAAGTCATTGTCAGACTAGATGGACTTTAGCCTGTAAGCCACTCTAACAAATCCCATATATAATCATTCTGTTAGCTCTGTTCCTCTAGAAAACCCTGACTAACATACCCCTGAATAATCTATTGCTTTGTCTCTGTTAGCTCTTTCCTCTTATCTAAGGAGTACATTCATGTCTCATGTCCTGTTAAACCTAAAATCATCCTCCTTTCCTCGTCCAACATCATCTCCTAAAGTACCGTTGGGTCTTGTTCCATTCTATGCTCAATTTCTTCACAGAGGAACCCTCTCTCTTCTTGCTCTGCTTATCCTCCTAAAATGATTCTATCCTTTTGCATAGCACCAGCAATTGTGATTCTTTGGTCATCTATTTCCAAGATGTTCACAGGATCTCCAGTTTTATGCACATATACCAATCAAAGAGCATGGTGTTCCTCCATGAACCAGCCAGCCTTCCTTCTGCCCCTCTTCAATTCTGGATAATGCTGTCACAACTTATGTCTGCCACTATGCCTTTGCGCTAACATCATTGACTCTAATCCTCTGAAATTATAAGCCCAATTATACATTTTCTTTAATAAGTTGCATAGGTCATGCCATTTTGTCACAATGCTAGAAAACTAATTAATATGGGGGACAGTTCATATAGAGAGGGAGGGGGGGAGGGATAAAAAACAAAGGATATTTGGAAAAGCCATAGGGGAAACCTGTTATATTTATATGTAACCCGACCAGCAGGTCCAGTTATTCCAGGGTCTGAAGGGGCACTACCTGAAAGAACATGGGTGAGAAAGGGAAAGAAGACCAAGCAGGCAAAACAGAATTCTGTTCTCAATTTGTCAAAGTCTTCCTTTATTGAAGCAAGCTTTAGTCTTAAATACTCCTCAGTGAGGAACTCGGGCAGGGGGGACTGGGGAAGGGGGTAGGGGGAAGGGGAAAGGGATTCAGCAGCATGGCATGGCAGCTAAGCGGGGTAGTTGCAAGGTCAGTGGCTAGAACACCTGCTGTTAGTGATAAGCAGCAAGCAATGAAGACACTCTGTGGTGCTTTCCAGAGCTTGAGTCTCCAAGGTTAGCACGTAATGTTTTGGTTAACTTTAAGCTTTCTGTCTCAAAGTTTCTACTTCAAGGCCCTGTGAGTTGTGAGAAAGAAGCCTGAATTGGCTCCTGGCATTTACAATGCAAGATTATTTAGAAATAGTTATTCCATGGTAGTGTAATGCTCTACCCAGGAGTGATGGACTATCTAACAAAAATGGCTTTGTCAGGTAGACCATACCTCTCTTCAACTTGTTGGTCACAGGAGTCCAAGATACTCTGCTAAGTAAGATAACTAGCATTTATGAATTATACAGTGTTAATACTCTTGTTTCCCATTCCGTGTGTTCTTTATTTCAAGTTCACATAAAATGTGTTTTTAGGTTTTAAAACCTGCTATGAATTTAAAAATCATTTGGAACATTATATCTATTATGTATTTGAAGTTGAAGGAAGTGATTTATGTACATTTCTTATTGTATGCCCAGATTCCCAAAGCACTTTTGAGTAAGCAAGAATCCACAATCTGGTACTGGTAAGTTGGCTCAGTGGGTACAGGTACTTACAACCAAATTTGAGGACTTGAGTTTGATCCTTGGGACCCAATTAATGGAAGAAAATATCCGACACCCACAAGTTTTGCTATAGTCTCCACACATGTGCTACGGCATTCACGTGTGTGTGTGCACACATGCACACACACATCATATAACCAATCAATAAATGTAATTTTTAAAGATAAAAAATTAATCTGGAATAAATAGACCAAAAATTCTTAAGTATAATAATATCCTATAAAACACTGTACCTTGGGGGAGCCAGTATCTGCTCTAGAAACTCCTCAATTTTAATGAATTCTGTTTTTTCCCTTTTTATTGATTTTATTGAGCTATACATCTTTCTATACTCCCCTCCTTTCCTCTCCCCTCCAATTCAACCTTCTCCCATGGTGCCCATGCTACCAATTTACTCAGGGGATCTTGTATTTTTCTATTTCCCAGGTAGATTAGATCCATATATGTCTCTCTTAGGGTCTTCATTGTTGTCTAGGTTCTCTGTGATTGTGATTTGTAGGCTGTTTTTTTTTTTGCTTTATGTCTAATAACCATTTATGAGTGAGTAGATATATTTGTCTTTTTGGGTCTGACTTACCTCACTCAAACTGATGTTTTCTAGATTCAACCATTTGCCTGCAAAATTCAAGATGTCATTAACTTTTTCTGCTGTATAGTACTCCATTGTGTAAATGTACCACATTTTCCTTATCCATTCTTCGGTTGAGGGGCATTTAGGTTGTTTCCAGGTTTGTCTATGACAAACAAAGCTGCTATGAATATAGTTGAGCACATGCCCTTGTGGTATTATTGAACATACTTGGGGTATATACCCAAAAGTGGTATTTCTGGGTCTTGAGGAAGGTTGTTTGCTAATTTTCTAAGAAATCACCACACTGACAACCAAATGAGCTGTACTAGCTTGCATTCCCACCAGCAATGCAAGATTGTTCCCATAGCCCCACAACCTCTCCAGCATAAGTTGTCATCAGTGTTTTTGATCTTGGCCATTCTTATAGGTGTAAAATAGAATCTCAGAATTGTTTTGATTTGCATTTCTCTGATGGCTAAGGCTGTTGATCATTTCTTTAGGTGTCTTTTGGCCATTTTAGATTCCTCTGTTGAGAATTCTCTGTTTAGGTCTGTACTCCATTTTTTTTTATTGGATTATGTGATCTTTTGGTGACCAGTATCTTGAGCTCTTTGAATGTTTTGGAGATCAGACCTCTGTCTGATGTATGGTTAGTTAAGATCTTTTCCCATTGTGTAGGCTGCCATTTTGTCTTGTTGACCATGTCCTTTGCTTTACAGAAGCTTTTAAGTTTCAGGAGGTCCCATTTATTAATTTTTTCTCTCATTATATTTAGGAAGTGGTCTCCTGTGCCAATGTGTTCAAGTGTACTTCCCACTTTCTCTCCTATAAGGTTCAGTGTGGCTGGCTTTATGTTGAGGTCTTTGATCCATTTGAACTTGAGTTTTGTGCATGGTGATAGATATGGATCCATTTTTTATTCTTCTACATGTTGATATCCAGTTATGCCAACACCATTAGTTAAATATGCTTTCTTTTTTCCATTTGATATTTTTTTGCTTCTTTGTCAAAACTCAGGTGTTTGTAGGTGTGTTCATTAATATCTGTGTCTTTGATTCATTCCCATCATCCTCCTGTCTGTTCTTATGCAAATACCAGGCTTTTTTCAGTACTGTAGTTCTGTGGTAGAGTTTAAAGTTAGGAATTGTGATGCCTCTAGAAGTTCCTTTGTTGTACAGTATTGTTTTGGCTGTCCTGGGTTTTTTGCTTTTCCAAATGAAGTTGAGTACCATTCTTTAGAGGTCTTTGAAGAATTTTGCTGGGATATTGATAGGCATTGCATTGAATCAACAAATTGCTTTTGGTAAGATTGCCATTTTTACCATGTGATGGAGGAAATGATGATCTGTTTAGGTGTTACTCTCATTGGTTAATAAAGAAACTGTCTTGGCTTTTTGATAGGGCAGGATTTAGATAGGCAGAGTAGACCAAACATAATGCTGGGAAGAAGGGAGGTGAGTCAGATGCGATGGAGCCAGCTGCCAGGTCAGACATGCTGAATCTTTCCCAGTAAGACATCACCTTGTGGTGCTACACAGATTATTAGAAATGGGTTAAGCAAGATATGAGAGTTAGCCTAGAAAAGGCTAGATATAATGGGCCAGGCGGTGTTAAAAGAATACAGTTTCCATGTAATTATTTCAGGTGTAAAGCTAGCTGTGTGGGAGCCCGGGGGGGGGGGCGAAAAGCAGGCCTGCTCAACTCATCACTACAACCATGTTAATTCTACCTACCCAAGAATTTGGGAGATCTTTCCACTTTCTGGTGTCTTCAATTTCTTTCTTCAAAGATTTACAGTTCTTGTCATACAGGTCTTCCACTTGTTTGGTTAGAGTTACTCTGAGATATTTTATATTTGTGGTTATTGTGAAGGGTGATGTTTCTCTGAATTCTTTCTTAGCCCATTTATCATCTGTGTACAGGAGGGTTACAGATTTTTTTTTGAATTAATTTTGTATTCTACTACATTATTGAAAGTGTTTATGAGTTGTAGAAGTTCCTTGGTAGAAATTTTTGGGTTTCTTATGTAAACTATCATATCATGAACAAATAGAGTTTGACTACTTCTTTTCTGATTTGTATCCCCTTGATCTCCATTTGTTGTTTTATTGCTCTTGTTAGAACCTCAAGAATTATATTGAATAGATATGATTGGGTAACCTTGTCTTGTTCCCGATTTCAGTGTAATTGATGTGAATTTCTCTCCATTTAGTTTGATGTTGGCTGTTGGCTTGCTGTCTATTGCCTTTATTATGTTTAGGTATGTTCCATGTATCCCTGATCTCAACAAGACCTTTTTCATGAAGGGATGTCATATTTAGTTGAAGGCTTTTTCACCATCTAATGAGATGATCATGTGATTTTTTTCTTTCAGTTTATGTATATGGTGGATTACATTGACAGATTTTCTTTTTTTAATTTTTTTTATTGAGAAAAGGAGAAAAAAACATAAACAAAAAACAAGTTTCCACCTCCTCCCAGCCTCCCATTTCCCTCCCCCTCTTCCCACCCTTCTCCCCCTCCACCCACCCTTCTCCCCCTCCTCCCACCCTTCTCCCCCTCCCCCGACTCCTCTCCCCCTCCCTCTCCAGTCCACAGAGCAGTCCGGGTTCCCTGCCCTGTGGTAAGTCCTAGGTCCTCCCCCCTCTGTCCATGTCTAGGAAGGTGAACATCCAAACTGGCTAGACTCCCACAAAGCCAGCACATTAAGTAGGATCAAAACCACGTGCCATTGTCCTTGGCGTCTCATCAGCCCTCATTGTTCGCCATGTTCAGAGAGTCCGGTTTTAACCCATGCTTTTTCGGTCACAGTCCAGCTGGCCTTGGTGCGCTCCCAGTAGATCAGCTCCACTGTCTCAGTGGGTGGGTGCACCCTTCATGGTCCCGGACAGATTTTCATATGTTGAATCATCCCTTAATCTCTGTGCTGGAGCCTACTTGATCATGCTGGATGATTTTTTTGATGTATTATTGGATTAGATTTGCCAGTAGTTAATTGAATATTTTTGCATCAATGTTCATGAGTGAGATTGGTCTGTAATTCTCTCTCTTAGTTATGCCTTTGTGTGATTTGGGTATCAGGGTAATTGTAGCCTCATAAAAAAGTTTGGCAATGTTTCTTCTGTTTCTATTATGTGGAATAATTTGAGGAGTATTGGTATTAGTTCTTCTTTGAAAATTTTTTAGAACTCTATGTTGAAGCCATCTGGTCCTGGGCTTTATTATTTTTTTGTTTGGAGACTTGATGACTGTTTCTATTCCTTTATCAATTATAGGTCTATTTAAATTGTTTATCTGGTCTTGATTTAATTTTGGTAAGTGATATTTATCTATAAAATTGTCCATTTTCTTTAAATTTTCCAATTTTATGGAGTACAGGTTTTTGATATATGACTTTATGATTCTCTAGATATGTATGTTTTTATACCCCCTTTTCACTTCTGATTTTTTAAATTTGGATATTCTTTCTCTACTTTTTGGTTAGTTTGGATAAAGGTTTGTCTATTTTTTGATTTTCTTGAAGAACCAACTCGTTGTCTCATTGATTTTTGGTAATGTTTTCTTTGTTTCTATTTTTTTATTTCTGCTCTCAATTTATTTCTTGCCACCTAGTTCTTTTGGGTGAGTTTCCTTCTTTTTGTTCTAAAGTTTTCAAATGTTCTGTTAACTCACTAGTGTGGGATTTTTCCAGCTTCTTCATGTAGGCATTTAGTGCTATGAACATTCCTCTTAACACTACTTTCATTGTATCCCATAAATTTTGGTATGTTGTGTGGTCATTTTCATTGAATTTTAAAAAGTCTTTAATTTCTCCCTTTATTTTTTTCTTGACCTTTTGATGCTTCAAGTGAGCATTGTTTAATTTCCATGTGTTTGTGAGATTTCTGGAATTAGTGTTGCTGTTGAAATCTAGTTTTACGCCAAGGTGATCAAATAAGATACATGGGGTTATTCCAATTTTTTGAATATGTTGAAGTTTGCTTTGTTAATTAGTATGTAGTCAATTTTGAGAAGCTTCCATGAGGTGATGAGAAGAAAGTATATTTTTTTATGTTTGGATGGAATGTTCTATAGATGTCTGTTATGTCCATTTGAGTCATGACATCTGTTAGTTCTCTTATTTCTCTGTTAAGTTTCTGTCTGACAGATCTGTCCAGTGGTGAGAGTAGAGCATTGCAGTCCTCCACTCTTAGTGTGTGGGGTTTAATGTGTTATTTAAGCTTTAGAAGTATTTCTTTTATATATGAAGTTGCCCTTGTATTTGGGGCATAGATGTCCAGTATTGAGATTTCCTCTTGATGGATTTTTCCTGTGACTAATAAGAAAAGTCCTTCTTTGTCTCTTTTGATTGATTTTAGTTTGAGATCTACTTTGTTAGATATTAGGATAGCTACACCAGCTTGTTTCTTAGGCCCATTGGATTAGAAAATTTTCCCCAACCCTTTACTCTGAGGTGATGTCTGTCTTTGAGGTTGAGGTGTGTTTCTTGTATGCAGCAGAATGATGTATTCTGTTATTGTATCCAATCTGTTAACCTGTGTCTTTTTATAAGTGAGTTGAGTCCATTTATATTAAAGGATATTAGTGATTAATGATTGCTTGATCCTGTAATTTTAGTTTTCATTGGTGATGATATTATTGTGTGTGCTTTCCTTCCTTTGGTATTTGTTGATGTGAGAACATCTATTGTCTGTATTTTTTTGGATGTAGCTAACTTCCTTGGGTTGGAGTTTTCCTTCTAGTACTTTGTG